TGTGTGGACAGGTGTCTTTTATACAGGTAACGAGTTCAAACAGGTGCAATTAATACAGGCAATGAGTGGAGGATAGGAGGGCTTCTTAAAGACAAACTAACAGGTCTGTGAGAGCCAGAATTCTTGCTGGTTGGTAGGTGATCAAATACTTATTTCATGCAATAAAATGGAAATAAATTATTTAAAAATCTAACAATGTGATTTACTGGATTTTTTTTTTGTAGATTCTGTCTCTCACAGTTGAGGTGTACCTACGATAAAAATTACAGAACTGTCCATTCTCTGTAAGTGGGAAAACCTGAAAAATCAGAAGTGTTATCAAATACTTATTTGCCTCACTGTATATACACTACAGCTGTCTGTGTTTTGGAAGAATCAATATCACATATGAGGACATGTCTTCACTGCAAGCAAATGAAATTCAGTAAGTGTTAGGTATAACTATTGCATCCCTAGATGCCACTGCAGACTATATTTCAGAAAAGGGCCGATTCCAGCTAACCATACTTACTGTAGTGGCATCACTCACATAATGGGAAAAGAAAAGGTGTAGATATTAAAATTTCCATGAAGAACAACAAATGGACTTAAATCATATTTGTGTGTTTTGTGTCTTGAATATGTCTTGTGTTCTCTGTGTTAGATTCAAACTGCATTTTGCTGCTTCTAACTGTTCACTTTCCCACCACAGATCCATTCAAAGCCCATGTTTGCCAGGCAGGACAAACCCCAGAAGCCAGTATGGAGCGGCTGGCTGACTTGCATCAATGGCAACCCTGATTACCTGCAATCACTTCCGCAAGACTTCATATGTCTGCCACTTTTTGGCAGCAGTGGGTCCGAGGTTCTCACTCGTCTGGTCCAGTCCTGGTTCCAACAGACCTTCGACTGTTGCTTTGGCTGTCTGGAAATCAGTGAGACTTGCCTACACTGGCTGGCAGCATTATGGACGAACTGTCACAGCGAGTCTAGCATCCAGCGCCTCAAACTGATTTGGACTATTCCAGTTAAGCCAGTGTTGCAGGTTACCTACACAGTTAACCCACAAGATGCTTGGGATCTGTGGAGCGATATCAGAAAGGAACCAGGGGAGGAGAATGAGGGAGAAGATGGAAGAAGTGTTGATATCGAGGAGGTCACGAGATTCATCCAGGGGCTGAAGAACCACTTCTACAAACACTTCAAGTTGGATCTGTCAGCAGGACCCCTTCAACAGGTCTCTACAGCACTGGGTTCAGCCAAGTATAGCGGTAGGATCAAGGTACCATCCTACACAAACAGCTCGTCAAGTTTTTACATTGTGTTGTCAACACACACACAGAAAGATAAATGTTGTACTAATATTTGCTTCCTTTTGTTTTAGATCTCCAGCAGCAGATATATGATCACCACCCTCACACTACTGACAGAGGGTGCCCTCCTCAAAATGCCCATCTAGAGAATAAAGACTTTAAACCAACAGGCAATGCAACATTTCAACAGCATTTAAATACAGGTAATCTTGAATTTTTTATATGTATAATTACAACACATGAACATATAAATACCATATTTACATACTATGGATGGACAAATGGTTATAATCTGAACTGAAGACTCCTTATATCCCTCATTTACCATGTTGTCAAGTTTGTCTGCTGTGCTCACAAACAAGCTTTGGTTCCAACCGTGTAAAATATAATGTGTGTATTCATGTGTAGCTGTGTACATGTTTTTTTTTAATTTTTCTTTTTTGGAAATAAAAACTAAGAGCTGCAGTGTAGTGATTAACTGTTGAAGATAGCTTTGGAATTATACAAGTTAAAAAAATAGTCGGGTGCGCATGAACAGTGGAATAGTTTTTGCTTGCTGTACACATTTCCACGTATATGGGCCATTAAGAGATCACTTGCTAATGTAGTTCCAAATTACAGTCCAAAAAATGCATTCTAAAGTTTGTCCAAGTTAGATAAATAGTGGATATCTTCCAAAGTTGCAGTCTTATAAAGCTACAGTATGCTCCCTCTCCCTGCTCCACTATGTTCTACTAGGATCTGCTGTGCTCCCCAAGCTTTGCCCAGCTTTTCAGATATTTATGAAATTACAAGAAATGAGAATGCAATAAGACTTCCTGATGAAGCAGAAATAACTGAAAATCTCTGGGTTGGAGAGGTCAATCCCGTTGAAAACCTTTAGAAGCTAATATTTCTACACTGCGGCCAGTGCGGTTCAATCGGTCTAGGTCACAGGAGGCTTTGACAACACCTCTCCACATTAATCAGTCCTTTCACATCTCGTTACACAGGAGCTGGATTTGTATCTTCTTCTACTTTTGGCTGTTCCTGTTAGGGGTTGCCACAGCGAATCATCAGTTCCCACCAAACTGACAATGCGCACGTTAAACTTCGCATGTTTTACACCGGATGCCCTTTCGGATAATGGCCAATTTTGTAGAGTCGCCAATCAACCTAAGCTGCATGTCTTTGGGAGGAAGCCGGAGTACCCGGAGAAAATCCACGCAGGCACAGGGAGAACATGCAAACTCCGCACATCTTGAACAGCGCTAGCCGCTGCGCCGCCCTCGGGAGCTGTATTTGTATACTCTCTAAAAACAACTTGGAGACGCACATTTTAGTCCCCCTCCAAAACCAAATTTCATTCACTCATGCAGACAACTACCAGAAACATATTTAAATCAGGCATATTTATTTCAAATGACACTGAGCAAAATCCATACAGCTCAGTTACCAAAAAGACTGAACAGAAACAAAGCAAAGGGAACATAAAAAAGGCCAACTGAAAACACAACCTAAAAAACCCCAACAAACAATACTGTATATTGCACTGGTTAAAAAAAAAGGCAAAATTAGCTGCTTGTGATCAATAACTAACAATTAACTAGATTCCTATGTGTGAATGTCCTGGAAATCTGGATAATGTAATGGCACACAACTCGGCAGTATCACTGTTGTGTTATGGCTATACTGACACTAAATGCACAATGGCGAGGGCGTAGGAGTCGGTCGCTGCTCCATTATGCTCTTTAATGACAGGACTGGTGACTTTTGGTGTGCAGCTTGTGATGGTCAAAATTAGGGTACAGCAGATACTTGTCCTGTCATTCATTAAAGGGCACTGTGAAGCTGAGGATTATGAGAAATAAGAATCTGTAGTTAATACTCCTTGTAGTCAGTTTAGAGCATAACAAGTTAGCTGTGATTTATGCTCATGATATGTGTTGTATATCAATAAGAACTCCTGCTCAGTGTGGAACTGTAACAGTTTAAACCCCCAGCCAGTGTTTCAAACTTTAAAAACTCATTTGGGTTTACTTATATGCTTAAACAGCATATAAACTCACTGAACTTCACAGCTACTTAAAAATACATCTCAGCACTAGACTGGGGGATGGTGTTACCTTCCCACTCTGCTCCTTCCATGTCGTTATATAATATTTACTCGTGTGGGTATATACGACTCTGAAAAGGGCTTGGCTTTATATTTACAACAGCACCCACACAAGCCAACTTGTGACAATCTGAAATCAGCATCTGCCAGGCAAATGCACAGGGGCATGGACACCAAAGAAAAACTTGTGCTAGTTGGGGTGCATATTCAATTGTCTGGCAAAGATCCATGACGGGTCCCACAGAAGAGAATCTTCACAGTAGAATCCAAGAACCCCAATTGTGTACTGCACCCCTACACTTCACAACGTGCACTTAATCCTCCCTACAAAAAACAATTAGCTAGGGCTGATTTAAAATAGGGTGAGTAGAACACAGCTAATACCACTGTCACAATAGGTCATGCTTTAATGTTCAAAATAAACACCCCATGTCTGGTCCATTTAGAGACAAATCAATGCAAACACAGGGCCAAACAGTAAATCATGGAGAGGAAAGTGATGATAAGTCATGATGTGATTCACAGTAAGTGGGGACGGCAGCATCTGCAGCAGCAGCTTTAGGAGGCCAAACCCAGAAAGAAGCCACCAACGAATCCGCTGGACAAGACGATGTTCCTCTTTATAAAGTCTGTGGCCTGTGTATTGACATTTCATTTGGTTAGAACTGTAGGGGTGTGGTTGGAAAATAGCAACAAGGCATAATCAAGAAATTTTACTCTTAAAACCAATCTGGTCATGAATAATTTATACATACATATATATATACACCTTACATATGCAGGTAGGACTTAAACATCCACCCCTAAAGCCTGCTGTCACAGACAGTGGGTGAAGTATGGCTAAGCGTACACTAGAGGGCACTGTTGGCTAGTGGATAAAGAAAAACTCCACCACAACCACAAATATAGAGTCATGCATTAAATTCTAATTCATGTCAGAGTATATTCCAACTGTGGTTAAGTGTTTTTTTTTTTTTTTTTTTTTTGAAACAATGGATTGATTTAATTTTAGCAACACTGAACTGAATGCAAGCAAAAGTGTGAAAAAAGGCAAGCTTTGTCACAGGTACCTTTACCTCCTCAATGAATGTGTTTATTTCAGGGGCTGCTTTGTTTGCCTTCTTCTTCAGGTGCTTCTTCGCTTTATTTACATCCTTCTCTACCTTCTTCCAGTCCACCTTCACATAACCACTGTGATTGGCAATCTGAAGCATAGAGTTATGACATTCAGAACTGATTTTGCATAGATTAATTTGATATAAATGTGGTTTAAAGAGAGCCCCTAGATCTGTCTGCAACACAAATTCCCTTTACATAATAAAAATGCATTCAAATGTAATTGAGATGCACATGATTCTCTGCCCAAGTAAAACTATTAAATGGCTGCAGGTCAAATTATGTCTTGGAATTTAAGAGGATAAGGTACACTACTATGCACTAAACATTTTCAAAATATTTAATTAAAGTATTCATTCAACACTGGGTTCAGAAAGATATTTTTCCTGATCACCAACTCATATACAAAAGGAACCAGTATATATTCTAATCACTATCTGACAATAAAATCATTGAGAATAGTTTGTCAAGTGGTTGCAAGAACATTTTAAGGAGACAATATAGCATTGCAAGACCCAGTAAGCATCAAGATGGCCTATACTATCTAAAGTCAGCTGTCACACAATTCTCATATTTCTGCTGTAGAGAGTGATCCAGTGGGGCATCTTGCTTTGCAGCTGTCACTGAAGTTGGCAAAATGTGTGTCGTGCAAAGGATGTATATTTGGTCACTTAGGGACATGGACATGGCAAATATTTAATTACTGAGGCTACACAGTAGTATTATAGTGCTGTTACCTGCAAAAGAAGGAAACCTCCACCAACAGCAGTAGCAGCTATCTTCCCAACTCTCTGGAAGAGGTAACCAGCACACCTGCATGTGTTGAGAAGTATGGAGGAGTGTTCCTTAAGTGATGAAAACGAAATAATAAAAACTGTACAAACAAATCACTTAATTACATATGATATTCATTCAGACATGTTTTGCTTGGACGAGGCTTTTTTTTAAATCAGTGTGTTCTACTTATTTACTGACATTACTGAATTAACTCGCTCATGTTGACGTAATCTTTCTTTGTCAAAAGACTTGCTCCAGATGTGAGCCCATGAGCAGGTGAATCACCGGGCCTTACCATCCAGTCACCCCTCCCATCATGAGCTGAGTAGCTACAGAATACTTCTCAGCAATCGGGCCTGAGTTGTTCCCAAACACCCTACTCCACCACTGGTGCCTTCGGGCATATTCTGTCAGGTCCACCACCTCATAAACCTCATCATCGCTCTCTGGATCATCCTGACCTGATAACAGACAGTGATAAACGATAAAGCTAACAACATAGCACCATCTGCTTTTCAAACCAAAGCGTGTATAAACGCACTAAATGACTGGATACCTCGATCACCTCGTTTCTTGCCTCCACACGAAACAATGGTGACCGCTTAAAGGCGCTTGCGCTATAGGTAGTTCAAATTATTCAGTTATTGAGAGTGCTCTGTATTTGACTGTTCAAACCCAAAACGTAAAAACCTTCAAACCAATTACGATAACTGCATGGACAGTTCCGCTCTTAACCTTCAAACCAATTACGATAACTGCACGGACAGTTCCACTCCGACGGGCTCTATGTAACGCTGAGAATCTTGGGAAGCTAATATTAGCTGGTTAGCGTCAAATGGCCACCAATCACATATCGTTACCACTTAGATTCCCCTTTTCTGTTATAAGCGTTAGAGTAAAGGCCGCATCCCAACTTTATTCATGCGTGTGAAAAATGTTCTAAATTCCCACATGAATTATATCAATAATACCGATATTTCAAATAAACAGAATCACCTACCTTCTCCACGATCCACTGTCGCCATTTTGGTAATGTAGTTATGTCATCAGGATGTTGACAATACTAAGCCACACCTACATTATGATGCTTTGCCACGTCAAGTTAAATGCTTTGGTCTCGTTTGATTATGATGAGAAATTTAGCAACTTTATTGCAAAATGGTTACAACTTTTTATAGTATAAGGAAGATGTCACAGAATTATGATAGAACTTTGGAAAGTGCAAAGGCTGCATAGTGTGAAAGGCTCGGGGCGCATTGCAGTTATCGTTACAACAGCCCATGAGCGAAAACGACAACTGACAACCGTGTCAATACATATTTCTGAATACGAGAGGACAGTTTACTGTGTTGTACTGCATTCGTCAGGGAAGAAACCCTTTTTCAATTCAGTGCACATGGGAGATAGACATGTTCAGACAATAAATATTTATGAATATGCTTCCAGAATAATCGTGGTATAAAAATGAGTGGTTTGCAGGGAGAATATGAATATTAAAAATAAAAGAATGCTATAGCAGGGAAGTCATATGGTAGGATGCGGACAGGCCTATTGGCTGAAGAGGAAAAAGAGGGCGTGGCTACAGCGGCGCGTGGGTTCGCTTGGGTGACACAATTATAACAACTTTATCTTCTCGGCCGAAAGCATTTTATTGTCATATACTTACATCTTGGATATTATACATAGTCAGTCACATTTAAATAGCGGGACAATATCACTTTGTGATGAAAAATGTGACGTTTGAAGAGCTACCCGGAGAGCGCTTCTGTCCCCCCCGAAAGGATTTACTATATCGAATCGCATCTTTTCAACCTGGGAAAAAGTTTTTGATCATTTTGTTTTCTTCAGTTTTTCTTCTTTGATTCGGCGGAGCAAGCCGTTTGTCCCCGCGTCGCGATTTTCCATGCAATCGTGCGGTGTGTCTCTCGCCGTTGCTGCCTGCGCTGCTGCTCGGAGTCTCCGCTCGGCTTCTTCTAGTGGTGATGAGGGAAAGAAAATGGCGGCGGGAAAAGCGAGTGAAACAGAGGAGGACTTTCCGACACTGACAGCCCAGGAGAGGGACAGTTTGGTCGGGATCGACAGGTCGGAATAGTAATCCCGTGCACTTACACACACGCACACTTTAGAAAATTTAATAGTTTTCTTTTCTTGCATGTCTAAAATGTCTCTAAGCCGCTCTGCAAGTGATACTGAGCCGCCTATGTTGTCTTCTCGCTTGCAGCTCACTGTTTGGATTTCAGAAGCTTCATGAAGATGGCGCCAGAACGAAGGCCCTGTTGATGAAGGTAGCAAATCTAACAGGATGTATTTTACTGCCAATCAGCACCCTGATCTATGAGAGTTACTCCAACTTCCAAACTATCATGCATGGCATTGAATTTGCTATCAGAGGAGCGATCCAGACTGAATGCCAGTGGCCCACTCGCTAAGAAGACCAAGGCCAGCTAGCCGCAGCCCCTGTTTTAGCCAGTCGGCTAGCTTGCTAGTTAGCTACTCTCATCCGAGGAACGGCGACCCTGCACCTGCGGCTACGCGGTGTCGCTAGCCAGGAGAGCCAATTAGCTACGGCTCCCTCGACATAACTAGCTTGTTAACGTTAACATATGTTGGTGGTTGTTAGATAACTATCCTTCCCTGATTGCTGGATAGCAATTACATACAGCTTATCATTGTGTACGTGTAATTGTACAACCAAAAACAGAACGTCGTCACTGTTTTGTGTAGTACATTGATTACTGGAAACACTGAACTCTAATGAGGAAAGTTTTATGTCGTCGTGAAATTGCTTTATTGCAAGACACATCTAACCCTGCACACAAAAGAATCATTTACTGACTATAACTTGACCGTTATAACGCTGGTGGAAGTAACGTTAACGGTGACGCCTTCTTCAGGGTGCACCAAATACAGCGTCCCCGTTTAACTGTTAGGGTATTTGCTAGCTAAGGATATATGTTGTCAGTGTCATTTGCAATGATCTTATGTTGGCTACGCTATATTCAGTAGTGTTTGTGACATAGTATTGCTCTACTGACCGTATTCTGGTTGATTTTTTTTTTATCTTTTGGTATCAGTGATCGAGTTGACAAACGTTACAAGTAACGTTAATGGCTGGCTGCCTGTCCAAGATGGCGGGACAAGGCGAAGTGACACCGATAGCTATATAACCATTTTGATGTGAATATATTGCTCTAAATCGTATGTGTTGTATAAGTGGTGGTTAAGTTTCCCGTGGGGTCTTGGCTCTTTTGTGAAGTTGTACTCTTGTCGATTTAGATGGTGTCAGGGTCCTTTGTTTACAGTTTTCATTGCCCCTGTATGGTTCTGCATGTGCACTGGGACTAGGAAGCTACGGTGCACAGTGTTCTTGTACGTAACACATTGCTGATGTAACAGAAGCAAAGCCAACCTCCTGAATTCGTCTCTTACTGTGCAAGGACATGTAGAGAAGATGGGGATGTTCACAGCTCGTGGTTTGATGGGTCATCCATCTGCTCACTAGGTGGTGTGGGATACCTAGGAAGTGTAACTATTCATTTGGCCTGAGCTCCACAGAAGCAGGACAAATTATTGGTGCACCATACTTGCAGAAAATATGGCCTGCATGCAATGCAATTAGTGTACAAGGCTTGAATCAAACTGTACATTTCCTAATTTCACAGTAGAGCAACCTTTTTAGCAGGTGTTGCTTCTCTTCCTAGTAGAATTTTAAACACTCCTGGTGCAGTGGTTTAACACAGTGTAGTGTCATAAAAATGCTCACCAGCTATCTTGACCATATTGTATAAAAAGGTTTGCATTGTCATATACCCTGTGAAATTGGTATGGAGTCAGTGTTGCACATTATGGGCCAAAGTCAACAGATTTAGTGTCTTATGTGTTGGATGTGTTACTGATAACAGTGGTGCTGCTTGACATTGCTATAAGCCTGGTCTTGCTCCAGAGTTTTGTCTGTTGCCTGATTTTCCTTTTACACTCCTACACTTGTATAACGTGGTATAAATGCACACAAGTCCTATGGTCTAGTCCATCTATGTTGCAGCACTAGGTGCCTTCATGTTAAGAGCCTTGCTGTCTTACAATGATGCTGGTCAGATATGTCAAGTAGCTAACATGGACTCGACATGCTACAGTTAGGGCTAAGTCAATCAAAAGAATGTTAAAACTTTCATTATTACATCAGTCTAAGCATAGGTCCTCTGTTAATAGACCACTTGCAGCAATACAGAACCGACCCATCTAGTGAGTAACATTTTGTAGTCATCAGTGCAAATCAAGCGTTGGTGAATGTCACTGATACCCGTAAATCACTGTCCTATTTTTTGGGGTCACTGTTGTTATAACAATGTAAAATTGCAATTTTCCAAACGTCACAATGCAGTATAATTATAATGTCGACAATACAAAACAGTTGAGAAATAATGTTTGTTACAGCTCTAGGTGAACTCTCACACAGGAGAAAATACAGATTTTAAAGTGAAAAAAAGAAAAGAGGGAACTGAACATTGTAATATCCAGAGTCAGGGTATGAAGAGGAAAATATATTGGATACATAGTAAGTGGCAAAAAGTGGAGAAGGTGGCACCACTGTCATTTTAAAACTAGACAATCAGATGATATAACTTATAACACTGTGGAAATTGCTAATTATTAGGCCTGTAGCTTAGGTCAGCTATAATAGTGTGCATTTTTTTTTCTATTTATCCATAAAGGCAAAGAAGGATTCAAGATTCAAGATTTTTATTCGCCATTTATGCATAAACAGACAGTTTAGGCATATTGGAATTCTTGTGCAGGGCTCTCCTGGAGTCAAGTAAAGAATTTAAAGCCAAAAGAACAAACACCTAGTCTAAATATAAGATTACCAAAGAATACAAAATACAAGAAACAAGAATACCCAAGAAACCATTAACTCTTGGGGTATCAGTAGTAGAAAGCACCCTGTAGGTCACCTTTTTTTGGCTTCATTCAGTTTTTGTAACACGTTAGACACATTGCATTTGTGACGATGGATTCTCATTGGTTTTCTAGTGTTATCAGAGAACTGGTTTGTGAAAAGAAAATGGCAAATGATTCAGAATGTGGTCTCAAAAACAGTTATCATAAACTTACTCTAGTGTGTCAGTGTCTCATTTTGTTGCACTGTTAATTTAAAAATGTAAAGATTTTAGTGCATTATATGACAACTGCTCAAAGCTTAGTAGGTTTGCGCCTGGCACTTTGCAATGGTCATGTCACTGCACTGTTGCTCTGTGTAGATAACTGTGGGTTCAACATTTCTGACAGAACTAGGTCACTGTATCACCACCAGTAACTAAGTGGCAGTGATGTAAACCTAGAATACCTAGATGGAAAATAAGCCTTCTGCTTAGGTGTCCTCTTATTTTTATGTTCTAGCTGCCACAGTATTTGTGTTGGTCTTTTTTTGCATTCCATCATGGCACATGCAGAAGGCCCTTTGGCTTTAAATCCTCATGTTGGGCTGAGTGGTGCACTTTTGAGGTATGCATTTGTTTCCTCCAGGTCTGGGAGGCCACACTAAAAGATATGCATGTTAGCTATTAGGTCTAACGCACTGGCACTGTCCAGGCGCTCAACTCTGAAATAGTTGACAGGTCATGCAGAGGACGTTTGTTCCCAGAGGGGTTAATAAATTAGAACTTATATAATACTGATTAGACTCATTAGCATGCGCACAGGACTGAAAATTTAGCTAGTGGAGACATGAGTTTGGAGTATAGTCTGCCCACTTTTACTATGCTACAGATGTGGTATGAAACTGAAAACATTTTGTTTCACTTTATTTTATCTGTGGATGCTCTGTTATGCACTGTTGCCTGACAGCAAGGTTGGACTCGGGGCATTCAGATATGCTTGGTCTGTAAAAGCTAACAGCTGCTGCTATGATGAGTGTTAACCAGTTTTACATCTTGTTGTATTTGTTCTGATTGATTTTAAAATATTATTTTCTACAAACAAGTTAATCTAATGATGAATCTATCTAAGAACACAATACAGAACTGTTCAGACTTTATCAAATTTCCCAAAGTAAAACATCTCTGCTTTAAGTGGAGTCACTGTCTTTAGTGGTGGTTCCATGTAGTGTCGTTTTCCATTGTATGTGAATGATGTGAGCATCTCAGTAGTTAAACTCCAGCTAAGTGAAGTGTGATGTAGGACAAGAAAGCTGAAATATGTAAGTGTAAGGGATGAAAATCTTTCAAGTGGGAAAGTCTGCTTGGCTGTTTTTAGCTAATCCAGTGATTTTAGTACATGACAAATAAAGGTACATTGTCATATGGTTGGGCAGGAGTTTCGAATGTGCATATAGACCCAGGCACTTACTATGAGAAGTAGACCCGGGCATTTTTTTTTTTTTTTGATCTTGCTACTTCAGACAACGTATGGGATACAGTGCTGTTTAGGCATTTTGCTCCACCTAAATGCTTGATGATGCACAAATGCACTTGTTATTTCTGAGCAGCATTGCACAGATTTGCAAAAAATGAATGCACAAACAGTCCTGACTAAAGTGTCAGCAGAGTCAGTTATACCAATCACTATGTCATCTATCTATCTATCTATTTATTTATTTATTTATTTATGTTTTGTCCTCCCATGCATGTGTATCTCTGACCTGAGGCCTGTTCTTTTAGATTTGGTAGGATTCTATATGCACTACTCTTTTCTCAGCGTAAAGGTGGAGTTGGATTTATAAGTTTACATTAATTTGACTTGGTAAGCTGTAGGTACTGCTGTCATAAGTTTACATTAATTTGACTTGGTAAGCTGTAGATACTGCTGTAGCTGTCGAAGTGGTTGCCACGATGATATGGACACTGCAAGAACCTGTGATTGGCTGAGTATTCTGCTTTTTATTTGCACACAACAAGACAAACCCTCTGCTCACCATGATCAGTGAATGACAGAATGTAAACACAATGATTACACATAGCAGAAGCCAGTTTTTATTAGTGGCCTCTTCAGTAATGAGGCAGTGCACCTTCATATCATTGTTGGAATCACAAAGCGAAGGAAATAGTGAATATAATAAAAGCACAAAGTGACCTTTTTATATACAATTACAATCATTTTGTTGTTGTTGTGATATCAACAGGTGAAATCTGATGCTTTCCTGTTAATGAGAATCTGTTAACCTGATACTAGAAGTATAAATCCAGCTGTAGGTACAATTCTTACTTAATCTGCCACCTAGCTTTGTAGTGTGTGATCTGTTTATCACTAATGTTTATCACTGCTGTCTGACAGTTGGGTTTGGGTCATAGAGGGAACAGCTGCTCTTAAGACTGATCTGTTTTCTGCGTGGAATTTATGGGAGAGTTTTAACCACTCCGTCACTCAGACTTAGCCTTTCTGTCATGGAATCTGTGGCAAAAGATTTTGACTTGTCATTATCTTGCTGTCTGGCATTGATTCCTAAGAGATAACAGCAGGCCTTTGTGTGTGTGTATTTGCAGGTTACTTCTGTATAAAAGCAGTGAGTACATTTTATTGTTCATAAAAACCAAAATGAGAGGTGAAATATTATCTGCTCCTGCATAAACCTGGACGTCATTTCTCGGTTTCACTTACTCATGCAGCTGCCTGTGTTCAGCTGTGATGGGCCAAGCAGCACTCAGCATTGAAGACCAGCTATGTGATCTTAGTGCAGCACCAGAGAAACATCAGTGTCATGGAGGTTACTCTTGGGTTTGTTTGCCCTTGTTGTGGAAAGGGCATGGACGATATGTACTCGGTTTCTTTTTCCACCTTGTCCTGCTTCTGTGGGCTCAGCTTGTCAGTGGCTTCTGGTTTTTACTGAATAACCAGAGAAAGTAGAACAGCATGTAGTCTATTTGTGGAGCAGCAGTTTGAGCCATGCTTCCATCCCCTTCTGGCATGTAGACATTTAAATAAAAGGATGCTGACAGGTTGATCACTTGTACAGTCACTACTTACAGCCTTATTTAAATTTGCTCAAAATCAGGAGTTTTGAAATTGAACAGGTGTGAAAAGATTCTGTAAGACCAAACTAAATTTGCAAGTACTGCTGGACAAAGGCAATGCTAGCCCCGTTTAGGACAGAGACAGGCCTGGATATATTTTGCAGAAACAATTGGGACATAACTGTGGGCAAACTTTCACTGAGATGGGCAAAGAATCTGGACACACACGTGCAAAACCAACCATTTAGTAACCACCATCGGTTTTTGGCAGTTGTGGCAACGTATCGTGAGTTTTTGGTATCGTTACATTCCTACATTAAATTTCCCTTCTGCTTGTATCTGCTTTTATTTTTGTGTCCAAGGCACTGGATGTGTTTCCCAGGTTTCAACGTTTTATCTGCTCAGTTTCTAAATGGTTGAGGTTGGTTAAATAAATGCACAGAATGTCCCCTCACAGGTTAATGAAGTAGTTACAGTATCACTTTATCAGTGACTGCTTTAGGGTTGTCAGGAAATGGTTAACTATGTATGTGGTGAAAAACATGCTGTGTACCATACCAACCCTGCTGGTTCATATGTAGGATTTTTAGTGGATTGCTGTAACTCTGGTGTGGCCAAACCATAGATCTTGTAGTGTGAATCCAGCCCACAGGCAGTAGCTGTATCTGTTTACTCAGGGCAGGAGGACCTGTAATAGAATAAAAAAAAAAAAAAAAAAAAACTT